CTTCGCAGTGGTCGTCTTCCGACGGTCCAAGAATTTCACCTCTAGCGTCGGAATACGGATGCCCCCGTCTGCTCCTATCGATCATTCCTCGGTCTCCGTCGACCTGTTCCCACGGAAACCCGGGACCGAGGGCGTCTTCCATCGTTCCGTGCATTACTATCCAGGCGGCAGGGCCTGCTCTGAGCACTCTAATTTTTGCAAAGCGATCACCGCCTTCCACCCGGGACGACCTTTTAAAATCACCCGCGAGGTGGCGGGCAGAATGCCCGGAAGCGCGCGGGAGACCGCGCGAGCGGCCCCCGCGTCCGGAGCAGAGGTCCGACTACGAGCCTTTTTAACTGCAACAATTTTAGTATACGCTACCGGAGCTAAAATTACCGCAGCGGCTGGCATTAGTCTTGCCCTCCGGTAGGTCCTCGTTAGGGGGTTTAGAGCGTACTCATTCGATCACGGGTCTCGATGAGTCCCGTATCGTTATTTTTCGTCACTACCTCCCCGAGCCGGGAGTGGGTAATTTGCGTGCCTGCTGCCTTCCTTAGATGTGGTAGCCGTCTCTCAGGCTCCCTCTCCGGAATCGAACCCTGATTCCCCGTCACCCGTGGCGACCACGGTAGGCGCATGACCTACCGTCGACAGTTGATAGGGCAGACACTTGAAAGATGCGTCGCCGGACGGGCCCGTGCGATCTGCCAAAGTTACTCAGCTTCGGTTCACGTTTCCGATCCCCACCCGAGAGGAGGGGCCGGTCACAATCTAATAAAAGCGCTCGTCCCCCGGAGGGTCGGAGCTCGGCTGCATGTATTAGCTCTAGAATTGCCACAGTTATCCAAGTAACGCGTCACGATCCAATGAACCGTGACTGATTTAATGAGCCATTTGCGGTTTCGCCGTCGGAGCGGCAAGTACTGAGACATGCATGGCTTAATCTTTGAGACAAGCATATGCTACTGGCAGGATCAACCAGGTATCCTTCCATTTCGTCGAACGGCGAGCGGAACAGTCCGCACGCCGCCGGCCTTACACTTCGGTTCACCATCCACTTTTACGACGTGCGCAAGGGAACGCAGTCTGAAGCGTTCGCTTCCGTAGATTTCGAAAGAGCCGTCGGCCATCGTGAGGATCAGGCCGGCTCCGTGGCAGAGCAAATGAGAGACTCGCCGGAGCCTCCGGAGAGGCCGGGCGAGCCGAGCAGAGAGACAGGTTGTGTCCCGCCGAAGCGGGAGATACACGGTCCCGGCGTACCCAGCACGGGACCAATCAGAGACGGGTCACCCCATCGGAAGCAACCGCCGGTCCGCAGAGCTCGACGAAACTAGGACGACGGCGCCTCCCGCCCGACAACATGGACACGTTGCAGGCTTCGCACGCGACGTCGTCGTCGTTCCGCCTCGCTCCGCAGTCGACGGCAGTCGCCTCGACGAGAGGCAACACCGCAGTCCGGGACGATCTACTCGAATGCAGTTCCGCGACGATCCACTTCTCCGCGACCATCTGATGGAATTCACCGCGACGACACACTCTTCCGTCAATCTCCTACGGTCCTCTTCCGTCAATCTCCTACGGTCCTCTTCCGTCAGGTCCCCTTCCTTCCGTCCGGGCCGGGGGCAGGTCCTCTTCCGTCCACTGACAGGCTTCTCCTCGGGGATCCGTCCAACGCGTTCCTCCGCCGGACCCTAACCTACGACGCGGCTGGCCAGAGAGAAAATCCTTCGGCAGCCTCCTGGGAGGCACCATTCTAGAGGCTGGTCACCCCATCGGAAGCAACCGCCGGCCCGCAGAGCTCCACCGTATTCCGACGACGGCACCTCCCGCCCGACAACATGGACACGTTGCAGGCTTCGCACGCGACGTCGTCGTCGTTCCGGTCCGCTCCGCAGTCGACGGCAGTCGCCTCGACGAGAGGCAACATCGTGGTCCCGCCGAAGCGGGAGATACACGGTCCCGGCGAACCCAGCACGGGACTAATCAGAGACGGGTCACCCCATCGGAAGCAACCGCCGAAGCGGGAGATACACGGTCCCGGCGAACCCAGCACGGACGATATAAATACGATCATCCCGGCTATCAGAGCACGGGACAATCACACATGCCCCTTCCGAAGCGACCGCATCGCTCACCGAATTCCGACGCGAATAAAACCTGCCCCGTTCCAGGCTTCGCTCGCGACGTCGTTACGGTTCGCTCAGCAGTCGACCTCCTCGGAGGCGGTCCCGGCCGACAAAGCACGGCACGGGACTACTCGGGCCCCTGCCCGAGGGGGGTGACGTAGGCAGATCCGCAGAGCTCGCCGAATCCAGACGTCACCTCGCAACCTGGGCACGTTGAGAGTTTTCGCACGCGATCCGGTTCGTTCATTGGAAACCAGTCCACCACATCAGGAGACTCAGATCCAACCCACTCGAGTGGTGTTTCGATCATGACTCTCAGACCTGTCATCATCAGACAGGTCCTCCCCATATAGGGTATCGACCTGTCCAGATATCTTGGAAACGATTTCGATCTGCGGTCCTCCGCGGCACCGGGCGTCCGGGGGAGGAGGGGAGGGGAGAGAATCCTGCCCCACTTCTTTACCTCGAAATCGTGGGAACACCGGAATCCGAGTACGGAAAACGTCGCGCCCCGAAGGGCTCCGGGCGACGACAGCACCACCGCCCGACCTCGGCGGCGGGGTGGCGTGACCGCGATTCCGCCGGGGCACCACTCTTCCGGTTCCTTCGCAGGTACGGAGAGAGCTGTGCGTCGTCGGAACGAAGAGACCGCGAACCCGCCGCCTGGACCGGACCGGCGAGTGGTCGTGACCCCGGCTCCGCCGGAGCACCACCTCTCCCGTTACGACGCAACACCACTCTCGAGAGGAACGGAGAGAGTGGTGCGTCGTCGGAACGAAGAGACCGCGAACCCGCCGCCTGGACCGGACCGGCGAGTGGTCGTGACCCCGGCTCCGCCGGAGCACCACCTCTCCCGTTGCGACGCAACACCACTCTCGAGAGGCACGGAGAGAGTGGTGCGTCGTCGGAACGAAGAGACCGCGAACCCGCCGCCTGGACCGGACCGGCGAGTGGTCGTGACCCCGGCTCCGCCGGAGCACCACCTCTCCCGTTACGACGCAACACCACTCTCCAGAGGCACGGAGAGAGTGGTGCGTCGTCGGAACGAAGAGACCGCGAACCCGCCGCCTGGACCGGACCGGCGAGTGGTCGTGACCCCGGCTCCGCCGGAGCACCACCTCTCCCGTTCCAACGCAACACCACTCTCCAGAGGCACGGAGAAGGTGGTGCGTCGTCGGAACGAAGAGACCGCGAACCCGCCGCCAGGACCGGACCGGCGAGTGGTCGTGACCCCGGCTCCGCCGGAGCACCACCTCTCCCGTTCCAACGCAACACCACTCTCGAGAGGCACGGAGAGAGTGGTGCGGCGTCGGAACGAAGAGACCGCGAACCCGCCGTTGCAAAATCAACGGCGAGCTGTCGTGACTCCGACACCGCCGGAGCACGACGCGTTCCGTTTCGCTCCGAGGCACCGGCCCGAGGGGTGCCCCGGCGGAACGCAGGGACCGCGAGCACGCCGCCGGGTCCCGGGAGGGCCACCTCGCGTTACACCAAAACGCGAGAAGGAAGCTCGAGAGCGCTCATCCGAGGACCGTCGACATCATTCGTGCACTCGCACCCCGCCCCGAGAGCGAGAGGAGAGCTCCTGTCGAACCTCGGAAGTGCAGCTCGATCGAGCACACACCTCCCCCTATAGAGGGCAACTGGCGTGCCAGCTATCTTGGAAACGTTCTTCGTCTCCGGTGCGCTGCGGCATGATGCTTGCCGACGGGGAGGGGAGGGGACAGAATCTCGTGCAGTTTCTTAGGCAAAATGTGGGACCAAAAATTCATTTTTCGAGAAAAAATGGAAATTTCCAAAGAACTCTCGACAGACCTCGCGCTACTTCGTTTTCAGGACCACTCGCCGAATTTCGGGGTCCTGGGACCCTTTTTCGGGGAGTTGATTTCGGGGGTCCCGAAACTTCAAAAATTCGTAACTCGGGAACCGAAGGGAATTTCCGCTCGAAACCGGTACCGCGGAAGGGGACCGGGGATCTCCTTCCCCCGTTTCGATCTCGGAGCCCTGCCTCCAAGGGGGTCCCCTGGGGGTCCCTTCCGAAAAACGTTTTTTTTCTGCCCTTTTCGCCCCTAAATCCTAAACCGGAGCCTCCGAGGACTTCTTTCTGGTACGGATCGAAAGGCCAGGTCGCGGGCCTCCCGAAAAAAATTTTTTTAAAAAATTGGCTCCTGCGGGGGCCCCGTGGGGGGGGGACCCTAGCTGTACCTTGCGCGGCTTCCCGAGGCCCCCCCGATCGTCGTGGAGTCTCGAAAAAAATCGTGCCGGTGCGTCGCGACGAGGCGCACCTCGTATCGGAGTCTCGTAATTTTGGAACCAACGGGGGCCCCTGCAGACGCCGGGCCCCGAGACGACACGACGCCCTTTCCGGAAGGAGAACCCGCCGTTCGATTTCGATCGGGAAGATGTCGATAGACGCGTCTCGACGGGTTCTACCTCGGTACCCAATTCGGAGGCGATCGGACTCCTTGCGGGGGCTCCCGGGCCCGAAAAAAAAAATTTGAGGGCCCCGGAAGGGAACGCAAAAAGAAGTTACGGTCCGATTTCGTCGATCGACCCGTCCAAATGTGCGTATTCGAGAGCTCTTTCGTTTAAAATTAAGTTTGAGTCGCTAGCCCTCTCCGTTCGCGAGTTATTCGAAAACGTTGCGTTTCGAACCCGGGACTTAGAAAAAATTCGCGAAATTCGGATATCTCGGAATAAAAAAAAAAGTTTCCAATGTATTTCGACAAAACGCACCTCAGTCGATACGTGACGACGAGGTCTATCTTTTAATAACTCATTTACGAAATTTGACCCTCTTTTCCGGGAGTTATTCGAAAACGTTGCGTTTCGAACCCGGGACTTTGAAATTTTCGCGACATTTCGAAATTCGCGAATAAAAAAAAAAGTTTTCAATTTTTTTCTACGAAAGGCACCTCCGTCGATGCGTGTCGACCTTGTCTATCGTACGACACCAAATTCACGAAATTGGAACCTTTTTTCCGGGAGTTATTCGAAAACGTTGCGTTTCGAACCCGGGACTTTGAAATTTTCGCGACATTTCGAAAAACCTCCTCCGCCCGTAAAACGCGAACCGAACGAGTCACGAGCTCTAATCTTCGCAGGCCGGGAAGGTCCCGTCGAGAGGAACCCGAAAACACGAGATTCGGGATCCTGGCCCCGAATCCGGGCCCGCTACGAGGTGGGTCCCGAAAACGCTCCCGGGCCCCCAGATCGCGAACGGGCGTCCCGGGACGCACCAGAAATTCGTCTCGGGTAGAACTCGACGCCGCCCGCTTCCCCGGCGATTTTCGGAGCCCTGCCCGCAACGGGGGGCCCCGTGGAAAAGGGGGCCCGAGGTCGCCTTCGGGAGGCCGGGGACCCGAAAGTTGACGGAATTTCGGAATTCCGATTTCGGATTCGAGCTCGTCTCGCCGAGACGGACCGGAATCTGGATTTCCGGGAAGATCCCGCGAGCGGTTCCGAAATTAAGAGCGGGAGAAGGTGTTTTTTTTTTATTTTCCGGGACCGGAAACCGCGGTTTTTCCGCCCTGTCCGGAGAACCGTTCCGAATGGGGAAAAGAGGACGACGTGCCGGGACGGCCCCGGAGGTGCCGCGTCGGAAGAGCTCCTTTCCGGTTCCGGGAGTCGACCGCAGCGCCCCCTGCGTCCGTTTTTCCCGTTTTTTTCCCATTTTTCCCGGAGGGCGAACCCGCGAGATTTCCGTTTTTTCGACCCCGGGGTCGAGCGGGGGACCGCCCGAGGAGCCCTCCGAAAAAAACTCGGGGTCCCGGCGGGTCTTTTTCGGCGTTTCGGAGAGTTCGGAAATCGAAAGAAAAAAAAAATTTCGAATTTCTCCGGAACGGTCCGAAAAAAAAA